GTCTTAGAAAATAAACAAATTTCTATTTTAGTTAGTTATTTAGTTTAATAGAGAGAGAAACTATAAATTGTATATAATTATTAACAGAAAAAGAAAAAGAACGAGGAATTGTAATACATACATAAGAAGGGTAAAAAAAATGAGCGAAAATGTTATTATTAATTATTTGGGTCGCTATAGCCGGATATGATTTCATGAGAATCAGTCATAATAAACGATATGTTATTTTAAACGGAGTCACTGCAATTACTTCATATTAATCGATTGGTTAATATAGGCGGAGTCATAATAAACGAATTCCATTGTACTTCCGACTTATTATTAATTATATAGTTGATACTTGCTTAACAACAATTAGTAATGATGTATTTAAAAAGAAACTAATAAAAGTTTTTAGATACATTTTAATTATGTAATTACAATATTACCAAGAATACATATATTTAATAAGTACTCATTAAATGTATCCTAATTTATCACAAAGTAACGAAATATCTCTAAGGGCTTTATAATAATCTTCATTCTTTTCAAAAGAAGTATCGAATTGTTTTACAACATCATCAAAATCAGTACAATTGTTTAGATTGGGCAATTTATCAGATTCAACTCTTAATAATCTAATGGCTTGAAGACTTGATAACAATCCTCGTATAGAATACTTTTTCATTTGTTGCTTGAGACCGTCCCACGGGAACAGCTTATTAGGGTCACTACCCAACTTTACGAGAAAGTCGGAAAGAGTTTTGTGGTACAATTCCAAAAATTGATCGTGCTTATCAACGAGTAATTCGTTGGCAATGTTTATGAAAAAGAATGAGGAAACTTCTGATGCGGGAGAAGCCACCGTTGAAAATTGAAAATCCAAAAGGCGCATTTCTGTAGGAGTGTTGGGCTTCAGAGAATTCTGGAAATTTATTTCTTTCGTTAAAGGAGAATTGTTTTTTACCAAGAGTAAATAAATGAGACAAAAAAATTAAAATTAAAGCGAATGAAACGAAACTGTTAATGTATGAAAATTAATATATACACATATAATTTACATGCCTATTTATGCATTTTCACAAGGAAATGTGTAAATTGGTATTCATTTAATGGTTTTCAAGTAAAAGAATTATTCCATCTGTTTACACTTACGGTATGTCTTTAGCATTTGATTATTGTTATCAACATGAAATACATAATCAAATTAATTGATTAACTCAGTAACACCTGCATTTGTCTACTTTTTCAATTACATATGTTTAATTTTTTTGCGGAATGTAGTAATTATTTACTAACTTACCCCATATTTAAACAAAAGATTGTTTAACCAACAATCACCGTGAATAAAAACACAATATTCATTTTCTTGTGTCCCTTCGTCCAGTAGTGTTTCAACACTTCTTTTAACGATTTCTTTCATTTTATTTTGAATTCTTTCATCCTGGCTTAATGATGCTAACAAGTCTGCATTACTACTTTCCATAAATTTCTGTAACAATTCTTTAGGATGCGAATTGGTGAATGTTGTTTTAACTTCTTGTCTCAGTTGTTCAAAAATATCCGATTTTTGATCGCGAAGGGCAAAAGACAGAGCGTGAAACTTGGCGTAAGTTTTTAAAGATAAGATTATGTGGTCGTAATCTAGGCTAGTCGATTTTTTGTACATCAAATAATTTTGTTCCTTCATGTCTTCTAAAATAAGGGTTTCGTCCAAATAATCCGTACACGTATAGTAACATGGGACAGATATAAATGGTTCTGTGATCCCATTTTCCGTTTGAAGCCGGTCAAAAACAGTGAAGATTTTTTCGTAAAAGATCGATTCGGTTTTGAACGCCACATCGATTCTTAGTTGGCTTCGAACACCAGGGTTTGCTGTAGCACTTTTCACTATTAAATTTAATGTTTTGGTTGACCCATTATTATTCACTGCTACCAGATATACTTTTGTAATCATACCTAAATAACCATCCCCACTTAATGCACTGGGTGTTATGTTTATTAACTTTTCCGTTAGTGAAAGTTTATGTAATAGTTTTCTTATATGTTTAATCAACGTTTCTTTCTCAGCCATTGTACTGGTAATTGTAAAATATAAACACTGATGTTGTGGTAAATATGATAACAACCTTTCGTCTGGTAGTGAATAAGAAACAGTAATTAACTAATTATTGTCAGATGTTTTTCTCCTACCAATAACCGTTTTTTCTTTGTTTTAACGCGATGCTTTTTGCTGCTTTGAATATATTCATTCTTCATACTTTTTGAAATTTATATAGAGAATTACAATCTGTTAATGTAGGTAAATATAATATTTTACATATAAATAAAGTAGAGATAACTGATAAGACACAAGTCATAAAACAAAAGTATCAAGCAAATAGCTAGTTTGATGACCTAGTTTGCATGAGATATCAAAAATTTAAACTTTTGAATCAATAATAAAGTGTTCAATTTATAGAAAACTTGGCGATTATGTCGCGGAAAATATAAAAAGCGCTCGTAAATTTTTGATCTGCTATATATAAAGTTTAAGGATTGTGAAAATATATATGGAATATTGTAATAAAGTCAGAAATCAAGTCCGATTTGAAATAATAACTATACAATAATAATGATATTGCAATAAAAATGATAGGAAATACAAAAAGCCCTCCTAAATTTTAGATGTGTTACAATATGATCTATAAAAGTTTAAGAAGTTTAAGGATTATGAAAGAGTATATAGAATATCATTGTAAATTCAGAAATCAAGTCCGATTTAAAATAATAACGATATAACAATAATTATATTGCCATAAAAATGTTAGGAAATATAAAAAAAATGCGCTCATAAATTTTAGATGTGTTACAATATGATCTATAAAACTTTAAGAAGTTTAAGAATTGTGAAAGTGTATATAGTCTCATAGTAAATTCAGAAATCAAGTCCGTTTTGAAATAATAACTATACAACAATAATTATATTGCAATAAAAATGATAGGAAATACATAAAATCGCTCGTAAATTTTCAATCTGTTGCAATATGCTCTAAAAAAATTTAAGAAGTTTAGGGATTGTGAAAGAGTATATAGAGTAAAATCGTGACATTTACCTAATGTACAGCAATATTTTAAGCATAATCGTTGAATGGGCCTCGAATCTTCATTAATTTATAACCTGTTTTCCAAAAAAAATCCAATAAGGCTTTTTATCTGTGAAGATCTCAGTTTATTCAGCTCATTAAATGAAACTATTATCCTTTACAGTAGTAAAAAAAAGACAGATAGAAAAAAATATCGTATCACTTTATTTTATCCATAATTCACATTTATAACGATACAAACGTATTAAATCCAACTAATACTAATCGTAGGAGATTTCACAACTAGTTTCCCTTTGAGTACCTCTTCCAAAACTTTTTAACATCGTCATGACCTGCTTTGCTTACTACCATCGTTCTCTTTTCTTTATTACACCATATCAAGTAGCCGCTTGTTTGAGCATACTCTTTCAAAACGTTGAAATCGGCCTGATAAAAAATATATATATATATAACAAACCAAAAGAACATTAATAACTTTATTGTTAAACAGAATCAAACGAATGACTTAATACAGATTGATATTATTGATGGTAAGAAGATTAAAGATAGGAGTACATGGCTTGCTTAATGTACGGCACGAGCAGTAAGAGCGTCACTAATTAGTTGGTTCGATGGCTCGCTGCGCAATAAGACAGTGCGCAACCGATTTACACGTTTTGTGTTTGACAACCGACTCAATCGTTTTGGAATAAGTTATTGCTCCTATGTTTAATCTTCTTCGTAGAAATTGGAAACAAAAAAGCTGGTGTATATTTACCTGCGACAAAAACTGACTATAAAGTACACCCTCAGAATAAACGAGTCGATTCCTTTCGAGCTCCCATAATTTGATCTGGTCTATTACAGTCAAAGGAAGGGGAGATTTGGTTTCATTAGTCAACATTTGGGTATGAGCATGTTGTGTGAGGTAACCAATTATTTGATCAGCCGTTATACCACCCTTAAGGGCTTGTCTCACTGAGTCTCGTGTTAAAACACCAACTACAACATTCGGAAATCTGAAAAAATAAAAGATTTTCATCAATTTATTTTACAATTGTTACAGTACAAGATGGTAATTTTTCAATGGGATCTATGCACTACAAAAGGCAGGTTTGGCCTCATGACTTGAAAATGGGAAATTTTCTAGTAACATGTAAGTCACTCCTTCTGTTAAAAATTCCATTGTAAAAAAAACACCCTGCACAAATACCATTCTAAATTTTATAAAATAAAAAATAATAAAACGTGATAAAAGCTGACCTGTAAAGTAATTCGGTAAATAGACCTATAAGTGCAACCTGAAGATTGGAGTCTGTGTAAGCATATATCCTATAATTTGTTTCTACAATTATGTACCCTTTTGGAGTGTCCTCTTCCAGGACAATAGCTCCTTTATCTTGAAGGCAGGTGATGTTTAGAGCTAGTCTTGTTGGATAAAACCTACCGGCTTTCCTCTAACAGTTTTAAAATCACCATCAATTAGATATATGTAATATTGATTATTATTAACATCAAATTCTTACTTTTCTTTGGTAAACTAGTCCAAATTCCCTTAGATGTTGCAAAAATATGAGCAAACCAGCGCTCATACCTTCTGTGCTGTAATCCTGAATAATAAGAACACATCAGTGTCTTCTAAAAAATTGCTTCAAACAACCACAGGTAATTGATAAAAACACTTTACATACAAAAAGCCACAACCCAGTAAGCATAAGTTCTTGTGAAAATTTATTTAAAGTCAAATATTTTTCATTTCTTTTATTTTATTTACACAAAAAATATAAAACTTATAGCTGCAGGGGCAAATTGCCCATGCTAATCTGAATACAGCTTTTCAAAAAGGAGATTGAATTTTGATCTTTTGATATGCCAAATATATATATAATAAACACTTACTTTGCCAAGAGTACTGAAGCTCAATTGGAACAAGAAAGTAAGACACTCAACAAGATCTAGTCCTCTTTGCTCCACTGTATCCAAATACTGCAAAATGAAATGCCAGACTTGTGCCTGGCGATCCAATAATAAAAATTGGAATCCCTGTCTAGTTATCACTGGGCTGCCATCTTCTTCATCCCTGTGTTTATTGAAGAATTGAAATTAAGACTGTACATTAAACTAACATAACATACCTTTTCATAAGTCCAGCATGTAGTAAAATTCTAACAGCATCAGCTGAAATGCCTTCTTGCTGTTGTGAGCCAACCATATAGTGCAAAACACATTCCCATCTTTCTGCAGAATAAGCATCTAAAAAAGCAACATCTCGTGCTTTGTTATCTGGGTCTAGAGCTGATGACATTGTCCATGGTTTTCCCCTAAAAAATTAATTTTTACATTTTTCTTTTAAAAATTACAAATAAGAATAATACAGGATAATTTTATACCTGCCATGCTAAATAAGATACAATATTTACCCCCCAAGAAGAGCAATTTTCAAATTTCTTTTGAATGTGGGAGACAAAAGCCATCCTGCTAATCCACCTCTTATGCTTGCTTCCTGCCAAACTGATAATTCACTTAAGACATTACAAACATGTGAATGCTCCCTAAAAATATTCAATATTTATTAAACAAACACTGACTGACTTCAATATCATGTACTTTGCATATTTTTGATGGCCCCATGAAGCAATTACAGCTTGTGGAACAGGTTGTTCCACGAATAATATTCTGATAACATATTGACGGGCTAATTCAGGTAACTCTCTGTAAAAGTTATATTAAAATCGGATAATTAGTATTACATTTTTGTAATTATACCTATACACAGCCAAACAAATAGTAGGGTGGTTGTAAAGCCTTTCAAGTACAGCCGGAGATCGTGTTTTTAAGTAATCGTGTAAATTTTTACATTCTAAATTAGCTGGTTGAAGACGAGCACTATTATTTATATGGTTTGACTTTGTATCATTTTGTGCCATTTATGCAAATATTCGTGAGAATTTAGTTGCAGCACTTTACTTTTTAGGTGTTTCATTTATTTTGAGGTTAGATTTCGAAAAAGTAACAGTAATAGCGTTATTGAGACAAATTCATTTTTAGTAGTCCAATCAAAAATAGTTTTTGAGAATTCTCCTGCCTTAACTTTATTAATTTGAACTATATAATTATATTTTTCATATAAATGTATAATTGACCACTCAACACACCATAACACCTCGGCAAAAATCTAAAAACCTGATTTGATTAGTGTCATCATAAGGTAGTGTCTCTTAGAATCAAGTTTGATCTCGCTATCCTTAATTATCATTAATATAAAAAATTATTAAAAACGTAAAAGCAGCAAATTGTATATTTAGCATCTTAAGTTTGTACAGGTATCTTCATTTACTTACTAAAGAAATTCATTTTATTAAATTTTACTTTTTTTTAAGGAACTTATGTACGCAGTTGATCCACAAACTGAATACATTTTCAAATGTTTGATGTTTCTGTGGTTGATATTGTTGATTTATTCTTATTCTATTTAATTCTATTATAGCGGTTAGTTTTGAATTTTACCGACTTCAATTTTAACGTATGACAACAAATATTTATTACAACTTTTTTAATTTATTTTACTCATGCAACCTGTGTTTTAAATAATTATGTTAATCTTAATATAGCCTTTTTTCCGTGCCATTGTCCGTGAGATTGATTGAATTTAATACTTTGCAAAATCACAATAGGATTAACCTAACAACCTGCCATGGACATTTTATGCTCTATTTGTAATGATTCTCTTGATACCGTCACCGAAACTCATAGTACACCGTGTGGTCACATCTTCCATTATGTTTGTTTGATTCAGTGGATTCGACAGTAAGTTAATTTCTAATTGTCAAAAAAGTACTAATTATCATTTTATTCAGGTCTCGTACATGCCCCCAGTGCAGGCATAAAGCAACTGAGAAGACAATTCACAGAGTTTATTTTAATAAAGCAAATGTATCAGATGTGCAAGATGATATTTCTTTGCAGTCCAAGTATGATAACTTAAATTTCCAACTTAAACTTAAAGAAATGGACTTGAAGTCACTCAAAGAGAAATACACTAAAATTGAAAGTCAGAATATGGGTCTTAAGTGAGTAAAAGGATTGTTATTTTAAGACTGTAGCTTTCATTTTATTTAAATATTTCTACAGAAATGAAGTAAAGACATTGCAATCTGAGTTAGCAACATCTTCTTCTGTGTGTTTTGCTCTTAAGGACCAAATAAGTTATTTTAAAGCAAGATCCAAAGAAAGAGAAAAGTTGGCAGATGAAGTGCAACGATTAAAAGAACAGCTTAAAGATATGGAGCATGTTGAAATTGTATTGTCAGGAACCAAAGATGAGGTTGATAATATGTTGAGGGAAAATAATAACATCCAGTCTCTTCAACTTTTAGTTGCAACTTTAAAAAGGTTTTTAATACATTTTAAAGTATTATTTTAATTCTTAACAAGTTACATTTAGGGAATTGGTTAATGTTGACAAGAAAAAAAAGAAACTGTATTCTTTGTTGAAAGATGCAGAAGGTGTGGCATCTCAATCCAAAAAAGAAGTCTCGGAACTGCACAAGGAGATTCATAAACTTAGGTAATTTACAAAGATTTTTAGATAAAAAAGCTATTATTGTTTAATTTCCTTAAGGCAAGAAGTACAAAATTACAAAGAAAGTGAGACAGAAAGACAATACTTAAAGGAAAAATTGAGAAAGTTGGTGTGCAAAAAGAAAGATGAAGATAGTAATGTATCTATTTCCAATGTAGATGATAACAGAAGTTTGCAAAGAATTATTTATGAAAGTCCTGCACCTGCAAAACAGCACGACATGACAATGTTACAGGATACTAGAAAAGTACAAATGAAAGATTCACCTTCTATTGTAAGTTAATCATTAAGAAAGATGTTATCACTTTATTGTCTCTTTTTAGGATGAGAAAGCAAAAGCAATAAATGATTCAGATTCCCCTTACTTGCCTGTAAAGTCAAACAGTTTAGGTTTTACTAATTTTATAAATACAACAAAAACAAAATCATTAATTTCACTGTCTCAAAAGGTTGGAAGAACAAAGAATTTGATTCTGATTTTAATTTAACTTGAAATTATTTTAGCCCTCAGTATTTGCTTCTCAGTCTGGTCAAATGCAACCTGCAAAAAAGCCTCAGGGTTCATATGATGGCATGGGAGGCTACATAAGAGATGATTTTCTTGCTTCATCCCCGAAGAGAGAGGATAAGGTAATAGTTGGAATGAAAAGACACCACTCAAAATCGGCTGTGTGCTCTAAAAAGAGAAAAGTAGCACCTCTCTCATGCTCAAAAATTGACGATTTCCTTAACAAATGATGTGATATATCAATTTTTTTTAATTTATGTTTTTATTTATACATTTCTAATTTTGTTACCCTATTCAATAAATAAGAATGTACAGAATGACATGCTTATCTTTAAAAGAGATTAATTTAAATTCCTTACCAATAATTATGAGGATATTTTAAAATAATGCACTTCAGTTAATAAATCTATTCATATAAATTGTATTGTAATAGAAAAATATTTCTTTCTAAAGTTCATGTGGTTATTTGCATTTACATATCATTTGTACATTTAGGAAATCAATTTTATGGGCAAATTAAACTATATAGGCAAATGAGAACTAATTTACGATAATTTTCTAATTTACTTTATTTTTTAAAGAACATCTTTCTGTGGTGTTTGTTTTGGATACATAAAAACAGACTGCTAACCCTTAATATTACCTTTATTATCAATAATTAATTTACAGGTCATTTTTTAGTTTTTGCTTCACGTTCTGCTTTCCTTTCAGCTGCTCTCTTTAACTGTTGCTTCGTGTTAAGATTGTGTTTCTTGGAAAACCGTTGGTTCTTCAAGAACTTAGCATCCATCTGTTAAAAAGTATGCTTGTTAATATTTAATAAAATATGCTTAGATTGTTATTTCTATCTTACCCCAAGAGTAGATTCATGCCTGTACCTTTTGGGTTTTTTAATTCCATTGCGGTGAGCTTTTCGGTCTAGAATATTTATATATTATTTATTTATTATTGCATATCTAATGTACTTATTCTACTTACTCTGATTATGATTTGTATGATTTTTTGACTTGGCCATCGTTTATGAAGCTGAAAAAAATTGGTTTTACATAAATATAAGAAATGAATATACGAATATATATGAAGAAAAGGGGACAAATAATCCTTCTAATACTGCATTTTTGACTTAGTATATTTTTATATTAAAGATGAACGCAGTATTTACAGATTATTAGAAATTACCTCTCTTGCCGTTTCCAACTACAACAATTATTGAAGTTGAAGTTTGTAGGTTATATTATCTATGGATTATAATTCATTTTTTTTATCTATGATTTGAAACACATGAAAAATTGTTTGTAGCATAATTAATAAGCGATAATGATTAATTTTTTATAAATATAAAGATCTTAATAACATAATAATAATATATTTAATAGAATATAGAGATATCATTGAATCATTACCTTATTCTATACAAAAGGTGCCAGTACGGTCCCATGGTGTAATGGTTAGCACTCTGGACTCTGAATCCAGCGATCCGAGTTCAAATCTCGGTGGGACCTGGTTTTACTTTATTTTTAAATTATGATTGATTTTTTTTATTAACTTTGTTTTTAGTTAATCCTAAACTATAATTAAAAAATTGTATTTAATTGAGTAGCCGAAAAATGCTCATGTCGGTTTTTATCTCAACTTGAACTAATTTTAGCATTCACAATAATCGTTTAACTAGTTTTATATAAATTAAATACATTCCAATACTATGTTAATGTAGTTAACAATATTGCATATACAAAAAATGTGATGCCGAAACCCGGGATTGAACCGGGGACCTTTAGATCTTCAGTCTAACGCTCTCCCAACTGAGCTATTTCGGCTGGTTGGCGATCTTGTGTTTTATGATGTGGCAATAGTGGGCTCAATTTTTAAAAGAAAAAAAACTATTTTTTTAAAATGTATAATATTTATTATGTAAAGTAATTGCAAAATGAATTGTATATAATTTAATCGATTTATTGTATATGATGCTTTTGGAGGAAACATTGGTATTTGTGTCGTATAAGGAAAAAATAAGGGGCAAATTAAAAACATTTATTTGACGATTTCTAAAAGTATGCGACGTTTTCTGAAACGTAGTAGAAAAATTCAATTCTTTTATTTATTTGTACAATGTACTAAACTTATTTTTTAATTTCTGTAGGGCTTAAATTAGAATGAAACCAAAAACAATTGAAAAAAATTTATTTGGTTGTTTCAGAAAATATGTTTAAGATATTTTCTTCCTCGTCATATACATCACTGAAAGTGCACTTTTCACTGAAAAACTTTCCTTCATTTTGGTGATTATAATAATTTATTTCAGTACAATTATTTAGGAAATTATAGTAATTAATATCTAAAACACAACTATTCATAAACGTTTCCTCATCAAAAAGTTTGCATGTTAATCCTAAGTTTTCTTTTAAGAAGTGTAACACAGTTGAAAATGTTTGCAAACCATTAAAAATTCGTCTTTTAAATCGAGGCAAAATTTTTTCTAGCATAAACACTAAATGATGGTGAAAACACTGAAAAGTCAAGTTAAGTGGTCTTTCAGGAATCACAGGATTTTGAATCTGTTTAGACTGTCGTAAGATGTTGTACTTTTCCAATGTTAAAGTTGAATTGTAACAAATGTCTATCCAACTTTGTACACATGCAATTGTAGTTGTATTTGAACCACTAAAAAGTGTTGGATTTGTTAGAATACCATTTCCCACCATAACACCTACAAAATCACATAATATACAAAAAAAGAATACATTCAAAAGAAGAACAACAGAATATACCAATACAAAAATTATTAAACCAAGAAGGTCTTTGAAATTCTTATTTTTTAAGGATTGCTATGGACATAGACATTTAATAGCAAATTGTACCTTTACAACCAGTTTTTTCATGCATCTCTTTACATCCGTCCAAGTCTAAAACTCCTCCATTACTTATCAATGGACAGTTGATACTTTCTCTTACAGTTTTAATTGCATTAATATTTGCTTCACCTTTCTGTTGCAATTTTGTTCGACCATGTAAAGTAATAAAACTGACACCACACATCTCCAGTTGTTTGCAGATTGTTACAGTTTCTCTACAATAAATTTTACCAAATTAATTTGCACATTAAGAGCATACTGTGTGTATTACTTTAAATCATTTAGCAATCTCATTTTAACACTGATAGTGAATGGTTTAGTAACTTGGTTCTTACATTCTCTGACAATGTTATATATATTCTGAGGATCTTCAAGTAAAGCACATCCCACACCTAATTGCTTTGCCCATCGTTGTGGACAACCACAGTTTAAGTCTACACCATCACAATATCTAGAAATATTGAATTGTTTATAAGTAATGAAATTGTAACAACAAATAAACATACGGTGCAACCAAATTTGCTGCTTCAACAAAATCTGCAGCATTATTAGCTGCAAACTGCACAACCACTGGGGAATCATCTGCAAAAACATTTTCAAAATTGTTGGTTTACTTCATAATATAGGAACATACTTCTGTTTGTTGAAAACTCATTTTGTCTAGCCTTTTCACTTTTACAAAAAGAGTCTGCCATTATCATCGGGGAGAAGCACAGATCGCAGTTATATTGTCTTACTAAACTTCTAAACTGAATCCTATAAAAGATATTTGTTATAAGATTGAATTAAGAGTCACAGCATTCCTACTTACTTGCTATACCGCACCATTGGTGCACAAACGGTTACAAAACCTTCCGAGTTGTTGAAAAGACTTAATACGTCGTTAACATTTCTGTTGTATATCATTTTTTTAAATTTTCTCTTAACTACATTGTATACAATTCAAAGCAGTTACAAATTGGAGGTTAGCATTTTAGATATGGTAAAGAATAGTCGGATATTGGTTCTTTGTGTACTATTGTGCACCACCATGTATTATATATACCAAAAAACGCGCGTATTTTTATAACATTTTCCCTATTTGTTATAAATTTTTGTTTATTCTTTATTCAATACATTTATTAGTTATAAATCATAGGTTATAAATAGTAGCATAGATAATATAGTAGTGACAGCTTATCTATGATAATTAATTGTGTTCTGGTTTAATCCGAAAAGTACAGATGCCACCACCGGTGACAAATAAGTGCCATTAGTTGGTAATAATCACAGATATTTTTTGTTCTTTTTATAATGTTTCTAAAACTGATTGTGAGTTCGTTTCACAAACGATAGTTTATTGTAAAAATTGGTCGTGCGGCAAGAACATAAATGTTCGAAGAAAGGACTTATAAGTTTAGTGTGGGCTGTAAATATGGTTTGGTGGACTAAAAAAGGTAAAAAACTTTACATACCCTAGTAATTTGTATGCTGTAGAATGTAAACTATAATACTGCTGTTTATTTCGATGATCATTTTATTAACGAGAAGATGCAAGCAAAATGGCGGATGTAGAATGGTTATTATTATTGATAGCGAATTATATTAAACCATCTTCACGAAATATATTGAATATACATATTTAAATTGCGTAAAGGCATATGCAGTGTGCTTTTTGAAATAAATTAACAAATTGCAGAGAATTTATCAAAGCAGTCAATAGGATTCATTATTCCATTGAAATCTACTGTAATGAAGAAAGATTTTTTTTTAAAAGGGCAATTTAATTAGCGAAACATTTTCGCAAAGCTTTTTTAGGTAATTAAAAAAGACAGATTACTCTTGAGTCTTATAATCAATAAAATCAATTAAGGTTTTGTAAGATGTGCCGATATATTTTGTTAGGTTTAATTTTTTATATTAGAATTAATTCGTAAACAAGTTACCTATCAATAATTATCTAGCAATTAGAAGCAATCCTGTTATATACGATGATGGTCTTTAATAAAATCTAATGATGAACGGTCATCATAAATATAGCTGTAGATACATATCTATTAATTACTTATTAATAATGTGGTAATTTATATAATGAATGGTGGGTTATTATTGGAGTAAAACTATTTAATCTTTGAATTATTTCGAACTTCATATTTATTTTTTTCTCAAATCACGCAAGAAATGTTGATTTGAGTAAATTATGGTAAGAATATTTTCAGAAATTGTATGTATCTAAAACAAAAACACAGCATTAGGATGTACGTAAAAATGGATCTGGTTTACTGTATCAGTGTAAACAATTAATTTCGTTTTCGTTTCGTTTTTGTGCATTATTTCCATCATATATGTATGTATGTATACACGTAGAATATGAAAAAGGAAAATTTACCTAAATATTAAAGCGATATTTACAATTTATCCCACTAGCTCGCTGCTTCGTAAGCAAAAATAATAAAAATTAAAATTTGGACCCGAATTTGTAAAAATAAAATCCCAGCAGAAATAAATTTACTATATATTGTAGTTGATATTACAAATTTAATTGTAATAATTAAGAAACTTGAAATAATTTTTAAAGAAACATGTCAAAATAGAGATTATTACAAGTTACCTAATAAATTCTACTATTTCAACGGCAAATTCAGTCATTTACACTCGAAAATTGTAATTTTTACGTTGTCATAAAAATTTAGTTTTCTTGGTGTAAGGACTGATAAAACATTGTCAAACTCTTGAAGTTTACCAACATTAAATGAGAGTCTAATTGTATTTGTACCAGCGCATCTTGTTATAGAAATACCGCAGTAAAATTGGTAAACCTAAAAGCTTTTGTAACAAAGTTATGTCGCAGTTAAATTTTCGTTATTAACAGTATAGAATACCTAGATGTAGGTAAGTCAATCTGTGTGAGGTCGTATTTAACTACTTATTTTACAATAGACAAGTTCTTCCCCTCCTATTAGTCACCGTGAGCTCGAAACCATTGCTTCGAGTAGTCGAAATTCACTTTTGTGAATTTGTTTGATCACTTACTTTGTGTTGTTTGAAAAATTAATTTTAAAGGAATTGTTTGTAAATAGGTATGCAACACATCGTACACTTCAGCATAATAAATTGCTGATACTAACTACGTAATACTACTTTGTCCTGTGCTGACAGCACTAATAATTTCTTTTATATATAATATTTATCTTCAGTCTCTTCCGAGCCAATTTCGACCATATTTTCTCGAGAAAACTCATTTTAATTACATTCGAATTCAAGCCATCAAAATTAAAAGATACATAGTTTTCAATAATATGTTATAATACACGGATTGTTTTTATTTGCGGTGTTATTATAAGCGAATTTTGGTTACTAAGACTTTCTTAAGTATTGGCAAAGCTAATTGAGACTCGCGGCGAAATGGGTAAACGTTACCACCTACCCTTTTCTATGGCATTTCTTTTCTGAGATACGCTATATGTAGTGCTAGCTTGATATTATGCTAGTATTTCGTCTATTTTCTATCAGAAATTGGTTGGAGCAACATATTTTTAGATTTAGCAACAAATTAGCCACAAATTATAGTTCTAACGGTATTTTTCTATGCCATTTCTATTTTGAGATACGCTATGTCTACTGCCATCATCAGAAATCTGCTGGAGCGACAAATTTTTGGATTTGGTATTAAATTAGCGAAAATTATGTGGCATTTTAGATATAACAAATATAACTTTATCGTGCATTATTTGCCCTTTTTCTTGTTCTTTACGGATGAACAATTTCCAATTGTGCGTTATTGAACGTAATTGATGAAACTTTAATCAAAAGAACAGAACAATCGGGCACGTTTTTCCTTTATTCCACTGAAATATCATTAATTTGCCACGTTTCTTTATTGGTCAAAGGTGACCTCCTTGTGTTGGCACTGGCTTCCATTATTTTTTATTATTGTTTGGAACGCATTTGCCAACCGTTGTAAACTTAAGTGATAAGAATGTTAACAATCTTCTTGTGACATTTCCTTGCACTAAATCTGAATTTTCCGAAAAGTTCATATATTTGTTCCTGTTTTCTATAACTTGTTGGGTCCATTATAAGAATTGCGTCTATGGTGTGATATACGAGGGTGGATTGATAAGTTTCCGGCCTGACCAAGAAAAACAAGGTTTTTAAAAATTTTTTTTTTTTATTTCTCAACATAATCTCCTCCAAGGCTGATACATTTCTCATAGCGGTGTTCCAGTCTATTAATGCCATCTCTATAGACTGATTCGTCAAGCTCCTCAAAATAACCATTTACAGCTTCGATTACTTCTTCATTGTCCGCAAATCTCTTACCGCCA